CTTTAATTCCACTTTCAACTTTTTGAAGTCCTTTCATATATAAATGTAATATGGTACTCTAGAGAAAAATAAAAACAAAGTAAAGGGCACGGGAACGTAGGCTTGGTGTTGGGAACTGCTATTGCTTTTGATAAGGGAAGGTGAGGGAAAGCCTCTGATGACATTTGCACAGGACATGAAAGGATTGAGCTGAGCAATGTGGATATCCACTGCGAGAAGTAACCCAGAGGTGGGTGGGGTATGCCTGGTGGGCTGAAAGATGGTCAGGAGGCCTCTGCAGTCAGAGGGGAAGTGTGGAGGAGGAGAGAAGTTGGAGAGGCCAGACAGATGGCAGGACCCAGATCAGATAGGGCTTTGTAAGTCACTGTAATGACCTGTTTTCTTTCTGGGTGGGAATCTACCAAAGGATTTTTTTTTTTTTCAAGAATTATTTAGTTTATTCGGGAACCAGCAGTTAGCATAATGGCTATGTCGCTGGACTCCCACATAGTTGACCGCGGTTTGCGTCCTGGACCCGGTGGCTTAAAACTCACGCCGGGCGCGTGTGCGTGCGTGCCCAAGATCCCGAGAGGAGAATGGAGGAGAAGGGATTGCGACGTGACCATCCCCTCTGGGGGGTGATTTCTCGCTTTCTGTCTCTATGTCTCTATCTGTCTGGCGAGCGCACGCGCCCTATAGCGAAAACCTCTCAAAAAAAAAAAAGAATTATTTAGTTTATTTTTTATTATCAATTTTTTAAAAATTTTGTGTGTACTCACCAGAGTGGGACAGACAGAAAAAGACAGAGAGAAAGAAAGTGAGAAAGTAAGCCTCCAGGTCTGAGACTTGAATGGCGGTTGGCCATGTCAGAGTCCAGCGCCTTAACCACCATGCCACCCACTGACCCTCTACCAAACTATTTTAAGCAGAATTGACTATATAACATTTTTAAAGGGTTACCTTGAATATTGTGTGGAGAACTGACCACAAGGACAAGGGTAAAGCAGGGAAACCCACTAAGATATCTAATAGGCGTGTTCAGGCAAGAAGCAAGTGGCCTGGATGTTTCATTTCATGGACTGACCATTATCACTGTGCTTTATCAGTAAAGGTAGTAAGTGTTTATACAGACATGGATGAGCAGTGTCAGGCACATGTGAGCAGCATTAGTAATGACTTAGTAGTACGCAAATTAACAATATGCTATGGATATTGTAAAGTAAGTTCTATAATTACATTCTAATCCATTTACCAAATATTAATTATTTTCTTCTGCATACACCTCTTTCTGTCCTCCTTGTGTTTATTTAACAAGGTTTTAACATTCTTTTAGCCATACACACTTGAACTTTATCATTTGTAACTTCTGTCCATTCTCTGTACCTCTGGTTAGGTTCCGCTGTTGCCTTGCTGTGTCTTGAATCCACCTCCTCCAACTTTGGCTTTTGGTCCTCCATTCCCCTCTGTTAGCCACAAAACTTGCCTCTAATCCATGTGAAATTTAGCAAGAAGAATATAGGTTTTTGAAGTGAGACCCTGTTTCAGAGTGGTTCAGATCTTTGTTTTTCCATATACTGACAATAGGGCCCTTTGCAGTTTCTGAACCTTAGTTTTCTCTATAAAATGAGCACAGCAGTATCTAATATTGATGGCAGTGAGGATTAAGGAGGACTGTGGTGTGCAGGGAGTAAGCACTTAGAAAATGTTGGTTCTTTCTACCTTGCGTTCTTCCTGGCAGATCCTAAAGCATACCTCTTATGGTGTCATTCCTCTTGTCAAAAACCTGCAATGGCTCGTTCTTGCCTCCCATGTTAAACACAAGCACTTCTGCCTGGTGTTCAAAGCTCCAGTCTCTGACTCCAACTTCCATTTCTGGCTTTTTCTCTTTCCTTGTTTCTCCATGTACTTCATGTTTCAGCAAAATTCTCTATTTATAATCATCTACCACTTCTCTATAAAATGTCATCTCTTTGTTAAAACCCCACTTGTCTTTCAAATCCTGCCTCAAACAGTATTGCCTTCACAAAGCCACCAACAATCTGGCAGTAGTTCCTGCATGCCCAGAACATCACTGTGTGTGGGAAAGGCAGTGTCACACTCAGGTTCTGGCACGAGAGCACCTAAGCTCTGTCACTTATTGTCATTCTATGGCTGTTCCTTAATCTGTGCCTCAGTTTCCCGTGGAAAATGGAGACAATAATGATACCTACCTCAGAGGTTTGTGGTAAGGATTAAATGCCATTATTGCATGTAAAACACTGAACAGGGTCTGGCACATGGACATTTATTAAACTGACATCTGTAATGACAGGTTACCATTATTTGATCAGGACACTGTTTTACAGGGACTTCAAATAAAAGCTGTTTGAGACACAGTAGGAAGAAACATGGGCTAGAAACCAAGAGATCTGCATTCTAATATTCATTCCTACTATGATGTTGAATATGTCACTTCCTTGCTGGATCTTACTTCCTTCAGCTGCAAAGAGAGAGAATTGAACAAAAATATCTCTTCAGCCCAAATAGCGATATGGAGATCTACTAGCTCCAACCCAATATGACCAAAACAGAATGCTTATTTTCCACTCCCTATATCAGTAAATCTTTTTACCCTCTTCCCAATGTGAAAAAAAAAAAAAACAAAGACAAAACAAAACAAACAAAAAAACTTGAGCCCTCTTTGAAGTTTCTATTCCTTTCACCATCTCCATTTTATCTATTTCCAAATCCTATTGCTTTTATTTACAGGACATTTCCTGAACCCATGGACTCCTCTCCATTGTCACTGTTACAACCCCAGTCTAGCAATCTCGCCTGCTCTGTTGCTCTAGGTTCCTAATCAGGCTGTTTCCTCTCTTGCCTTCTTTCAGCTTTCTCTGCAGAGCCAAAGTAATTATTTACAACATAAACCACATAATATCAGTCTCCTGCTTAAAGCTCTCCATTGGCTTTTCATTATTCTTAGAAATGGGATCCCAACTCGACTCCCTCAGCTCTCTCTCCCCCTTAGGCCCCCATTGCACTGCCCTGTGTTCTTTTCTGATGGACTCGGCACTCATGCAGCCTTGGGTCTTAGTACCTGGCGTTCTCTGCTTGGAATCCCTCACCTCCAGAAGTCCATGACTTGCCTCTCCATGTCATTTAGACCTAAGCTCTATCTAACTGCCCCTGACTTATCAGTGGTTCTGTCACATCATCCTCTTTTTTTGTCCTGAGACTTACCACTATCTGAAAATGGCCTATTTACGTGTTTCTCTTTGCCCTCTCTAGAAACCAAATGTCCTTCTAATAGGGTCCATTTCCCAGCACAGTGCCTGGTACAGAATAGTTATGCAGAGGGACCAGCACTTAGCGTAATGGCTATGTCTCTGGACTCCCACGTAGTCGACTGCGGTTCGCGTCCCGGACCCGGTGGCTTAAAACTCACACCAGGCGCGTGTGCGTGCGTGCCCAAGATCCCAAGAGGAGAATGGAGGAGAAGGGATTGTGGCGTGGCCATCCACCCCAAAAAAATGTAATACACTGTAAAGTTATATGTAATCCAATGTAATATAAAGAAGATTATGATGATAATAAAAAAAAAAAAAAAAGTTATGCAGGAAAACATTTTAACAGAATAAATCAGTAGATAAATAAATATAAACTCACATTTAAAGAAATATGAAAGTTTTATATTAGTTTTATATTACTTACTTAAGGCAAAGAACAGTATTTTTGTTTAAGAGAAATTTTTGCTATAGAGTGTATGTGCTCACCAGAGACACAGAGGGAGACAGACAGAAAGTGAGAAGTCATCCCCACCCCACCCTTAGCCCCACCTCCAAGGGAGGATGGCCATGTTGTAATCCCTTCTCCATTCTCCTCTTGGGATTTGAGGCATACAGGCACAGTGCCTGCATTGAGTTTCAAGCCCCTCTGGTCCAGGACTCTAATGGAGATTGATCGCCCTGTAGGAATTTAGCGCCTTAACCACTACACCACCTGCAGGCCCCAGTGTTGTTTTTTAAATGTGAAGACCTATTGGTTTTCCTTTCTCTCTCATAGTGAATGATTATTAGGCACGCAGGAGGGGACTTAAACAAGTTCGTGAAAACATGGAATTAAAGTACGAGCTTATTTTGGTGCAGAAAAGTTTAGAATTGCGTGTGTTTTTTTATACTATGCATTTTCAATGAACTTTTTGAAGACTCCTTCATATACTTGTGCTGAAAATGTCTGTAATGAAACCAAGAGTAATAGAATCAAATGGGGTTTTTTTCTCCCCAACCTCCCAAATAGTTCTCAAATTTATTCTTCTCTCTTAGACTACCACAGTTGTGCAAATTACCATCCTTTCTGGCCTTTTCTCTGTAGTTCTAATCTCCCAATAATCATTCTCCAGATTGCAGCTAGTGGGCTTTTCAGCAGCGATTATACCCATGCTTAAAACCCTTTGTCGTTTCCATTGTTCTCAAGATAAAGCCCAAATCTGCCGTGGTCCACCACCCCAGCTCTCACTCTACTCCAGGCCACACTTCCTCCTCCCTTCCGGATTCCCGCCTGCCACCTGGCTGGGCAGCCCTAGCTTCCCGCTTCTCCGAAAGGTCTACACCACACGCATTTCACCTACTACTTCGGATTTTAGGAGACTCTTCCTTCCTCGGGGAAGCCTTCCCTGGTTAGGTCAAGCCCTACGCCCCGTTATACAGCCCTACCTCACCGGGGCCTCTGTGAAGAAGCTCATATTTGTCTCACAAGCACATACCCCTGAATGTGAAAAACTTGTTCACCACATTACTGTGAGCTTGCGCCCAAAGCTGGATGCGGAAGGCAGCACAGCCGCGCTGCCAGCTCCTCGCCCCGCCCTCCCACGGCTGCACGCAGCTTTTACGCACTAAGCAGGCGCCGCCAGGACGGCCAGGCAAGGCGCCTGCGCGAAGGGGCACGCATGCGCAGAGAGGCGAGCCCGCTGACAGATTCTTGGTGGCGGTGGCGGCGGTGGCGGCCCTGGACTGCGGGGAATGGGAGTTCTAGGGCCCTGACTGAACACTGCCCCCGCCTCCCTGCCCACGACCTCGCTCAAAAGGAGATCTAATAGCGCCCCCCTGATCCACGGCCTCAGTGACACTTCGCCGGTATTCCAGGCCGAGGCGCCGAGCGCCAGGCGGAACAGCACAACGTTCCCGAGCCGCCACGGCCTGCTGCTCCCGGCCTCTCCTGTCCGCATGCACAGCAGCCGCTTGCACCAGATCAAGCAGGAGGAGGGCATGGACTTGATCAACCGAGAGACGGTCCACGAGCGTGAAGTGCAAACCGCAATGCAGATAAGCCACTCCTGGGAGGAAAGTTTCAGCCTGAGTGACAACGACGTGGAGAAATCCGCCTCCCCGAAGCGCATCGATTTCATTCCGGTGTCACCAGCACCGTCACCCACCCGGGGAATTGGGAAGCAGTGTTTTTCACCATCCTTGCAAAGTTTTGTGAGTAGCAATGGATTGCCTCCAAGCCCTATTCCCAGCCCCACCACCCGATTTACTACCCGGAGAAGCCAGAGTCCCATCAATTGCATTAGACCAAGTGTTCTTGGACCATTGAAAAGAAAATGTGAAATGGAAACTGAGTATCAGCCAAAGAGATTTTTCCAGGGCATCACCAACATGCTTTCTTCTGACGTTGCACAGCTGTCAGATCCCGGTGTGTGCGTATCTTCAGATACCCTCGATGGAAACAGCAGCAGTGCAGGATCTTCTTGTAACTCACCAGCGAAAGTCAGCACTACTACCGACTCTCCTGTGTCACCTGCCCAGGCGGCCTCTCCATTTATTCCCGTAGATGAACTTTCATCTAAGTGATTCACCCATCCTGAGACTGGTTTTTGTTTTTGTTTTTCCAATGGAGAGAAAAAAATCAAGTTGGAGCAAGCACTGAACTTTGTCGATTATTTTGAGGCTATTTCCTATCTGACCCTTTTCCTTTTTTGGAATTTCCTGAAATGTTGTTATTCTAGAGAACTTCTATGTCAGGTTCCTGCGGATACCCTTGAATTCAGTGTAGTAATATTTTCAGACGTTTTCCAATAAGTGTGTTGAAGCATACATCTTTACGCTGCTAATATGTCTAAATACATATGTTATCCCTTGATTTTTTTTAAATAATTGAGATCTCTATTTATTTATGGGATTATTAAGTTCTGATGAAAATATAAATGTTGAACTAATCAGCATAGTAAACTGTTTTTAAAATTTCATACTTCATGCCCACACTAATTATTGTTATTTCCAGTGATTGCTAATTTCCATTTGATGAAGAACAATAACTTACCTATTTACAGCTTTTTAAAAAATGTTAGTTATATCAATCCAGTGATTGTCTAATTTACCCAGGAATCCTTGGATATGATTTTCTGGGTACAGAAGTGGATGGGAAGGGGAATGATAAAAGAACAAATTATGAAAGTTGCAAATATCTTTTAAAATTAAGTATATGAAAGTAAACGTATTTAAGAAGAACATTTTCTAATGAACTTTTAATAGTAATTCTAGTTAAGTCATACAAATATAACTACTATACAGAAAATGAAAATTTTCTTTTTCTTTCTTTTTAACCAGAAAGTGCATTTTCTTGGGTATAGTCCTAAAGTACAAGGGAACAGTGCCTTTCAGTCTTTGCCCACTGTAGATAGGCTGAGGCTAGATCTTTGTACCACTGCAAACTTACAAGTTTTTCAAATGTAGAAAATGGGGGGGTGGCAAGGGGGTTTGTTGGACTTCAGCAGAGTACCCAGGTAGACAATACTCTCTCAATTGATAATACTTCAAAGTACCCAATTGTGCCTCAGTCTTGAAAATTCTTGCCAACAAAGAGCAGCGGCAATTCTTGACTGTTTTTTTGCTCTGCTCAAACTGTCGCCATCCTGGTTTTCCCTTACTCAGGAAGGAAGCAGCTGTTTCCTTGCCAACAGGTCCTGCCTCTCCATCTCCCACCAAAGTAGGGCACCATCAGTTAGACAGAGGTACATACAGTGTGACTCGGATTTCTGGTAGTGAGCACCAACAGGACTGTCAGCTGTCTAACCTCTGTGGTTAAAGCTACAGGTGGAGTTGACTGCCTTGGGATCCTGGTTAATTAAGAATCAATAATTTGTAAGAGAAAAATCAATGTAGAATTAGTATTATTTAACTTAGGTATTTTTTGTTGTCGTTAGCACAGAATTGTGGGATATTCTTTACTTTGCCTTTTATGATTAAGAATAGTGAGAGGTTTTTGTTTGTTTGTTTGTTTTTTTAATTTCCTTATCATACCTCGATAAGTAGGTAGGTAGATAGAAAGAAAGAAATTGTAGACAGGCAGACAAAATGGGAAGGAGAAAAAAAAATAAAAAGACTCACAGAGAGACCAAGATAAAAACTCTGTCTTAACTTTAAGTTATTGCCTACAGCAACTTTTATGTGGAATTTTTACAGCTATGAGAATAAATGGGACTGGTCAACTCTTGACAGTTGCCTAAAGTTTCAATGAAATTATACTGAGGGTAAGAGTGTGTCCACACATTTAAAGTTTTCTGTACCAGATAATAGTTAGCTCTAGTGCTGACTGTGTTCCTCAATTCAAATCTATATATCCCACTTTCTACTGGGTACCTTGACCTGCTTCCAGTAGTACTTTAACTTCAGCATCTTAAAACTAAATTTATTATCTTATCACTTAACCCGTTCTCTCATTACCATGTTGGCGCTGCCCAATTTCCTAAACTGGAACCTGTGGAGGCATCTTTGACTTTCCCTTTCCTCTGTCACGTAAGGGTTGCCACCCTGACCTTGGCTACCATCATTTCTCAAGGCTTCGGAAACAGCCTTCTGACTCCCGCTGGTGCCCGTTACATTTACCCATGTATTCTCCATACAGTAACTAGGGAGCCTCTTAAAATGGTGCATCTAGTCCTTCCATATCCCAGCTGAAAGCTCTTCATCTGCTTCTCATTGTCGTTATGTGTATACCAGAATGTATTAATTCCTGCCTAGGAGACGCTGAGAAATTAGGATCGCCTCTTCCTCCCCTCGTGCTTTGTTCTCACTGTGTTTGCTTTTTTCTCCTTCAGTATATCATATGGTCTCTTAGGTTTGTTTGGTTTTTTTTGTTTTACCAGATCCTTTTCCCTGAAGGTATAGAAAACTTTATTACTGTAAGTTTATTCTTCTGTATGAATGGTAAGGGTTCAATCATTTAAGGTTCTAAATTTATATGGACAAGTAGCACTATCAAACTGTTGTTCATGACTTGCATCATTACTCTATAGGGTGTAAGGACTCAGTTTACGTAAGAGTTGCTCTTCAAAAAACATTTTTTTTAGGATATTGGTATTGCTCATGTATAGACTGTCTAGTGAGTCCTAAAGCAAGTATCAACATTTAGCTAATGTACAGTTTGTCATGTATAATAAACCTTTGTGGCTTTCTCTTATATTTGTTAAAATCACAGTGTAAATGGAGAAAAATAATTAATGGCCACCAAATATGAGGCTTCTGGATGACAGGACCTTTAAACATACTTGAAAGATTGATTGTGATCAAGAATGACCTGTACCAAGTTGCTTTCCAATGATTCACATCTATTACTTCAGTCAGCTACATAGCTGTGGCAAAAGACCATTCCTGAAATGCTGGCAGTTAAATGGGAGAAAGAGTCAAGATCTAAAAGGGAAACAGGACTGAGAACATTTTTTCAGGGGTATGTTTATAGATGAATAGAAACATTTTCAAGAGAGGCTAGAGATGGGAATGGTTTTGAGAAAGTGAACTGAGGAAGATGGTGTAACCTACATTGCCTGGGGCATCAGAGAATAGAATTGGCCTTGGAAAGGAAGTCAGAAAATTTTATTTTCTTCTGAGGATCTGTAAAGAAGCGATGCAGGGCCAATAGAAGGTTTACTAGGCCACGCTGCAATTGCATGGCAGGCACAAAGTGGATTGGATTGACTAGGTTTGGGAATTGGTTAAGTGGGTACTAGGTAAAGTCTGTCATGTGAAGCAATTAAGGCTTCTGCTAAAAGCATAGTTGGGATGATTGGCCAACACACTGAGGATGATAAGAAATCCGCAGAGAGTGAAGGACTAAGCCAGTTTTTTTTTTCTTTTTTTCTTTCAAAGTATCCAGAGAACATCACTGTAGGACTCTCACTGAAGCGGTTCTGCCCATTTCTCATGGCTAGTTTTGTTTAGTTACAGAATTAGCCTCAAAGGCTAATTGAGCTCTATGTAAATTGATAAAAAAAAAAATTGTGTCACATTACTAACTGTAGCCAAGGCAGAGCCTTCCCTGACATGTTACCTAAGTAAAAAAAAAAAAAAAAAAAAAAAAAAAAAAATAAATTAAAAAAAATGAACTATCTATCTATCTATCTATCTATCTATATATAATTTTTTAAAGCTGTCAGGCACTGTTCTGGGTGCTAAACAAATACATCAGTGAATTTATTCTACCACTGTGGGGTAAGTCCTACAATATCCTCATTTTATAAACGAAAAATGGATTCAGAGCTGGGAAACAGGCAGGGAAACGTAGTGGTTAAGAACATTGAGTGTGGAGCCGGGGGACTGTCGTGAGGAGTAATTGAGTCAATATGTGGAAAGTGCTGACAGCAGTGGTGGGCAATTTCTGCCAATGTCCACTGTCATTATTGTGATGGTGGAGGGGGATCATTATTGTTGTCATCTAGCCTGGACTTGCTGAGGACTCGATGGACTTTATCATCCTTGATGGAACTCGTTTCGTACTCAGTAACAAGACACTCTACCCTTCAAAGCACCCTACCCTTTCCTACCCTTTTATAAGGTGAATGTTTTCAGTGTTAGAGAGTCTCAGACTGAGCAGACATCTTCCTCTGTAACTTCCCCTATTTAATTGAAGTACAGCACTCTGGAAATTGCAGAACAATCGTATTCCTCTTTTCTTAGATGATAGTTTTCTCTTCACAAATCAGCAACACTGATCTCTCCATGATGACCTCTTCTTGCTTCTGAATTTTAGAAATCTTGAGCCATTTCTTCAGTATACTCCCTCTGTCAGATAAGGCTATCATTGCTTGGGAGGCAAGATTTTCACGTGATTGTGACTCCTTTAGGACCACGTTAGTCTTCCTGGGTTGGAAGCGAGAAATGGCCTATAGACATGAGTTTTCATCATTACTATCAATGATGAAATTTAGTACTAATATTTCTTGAGACTCGGTAAAGACCTAGATACTCTTTTCAATGGTCTGCATATGTGAGTTTATTTTATGCTTTTTTAAAAAAGAATTATTTAATTTTTAATTTATTCATTTATTTTAATTTGCCAGAGAGACACAAAGAGAAAGAGAGAGAGAGAGGAAAAGTGAGAAAGCAAGCCACCAGGTTTGGGACTTGAACCATGGTCATCCACATGGGAGTGTCCAGCACCTTCACCACCATGCCACCTGCTGGTCCCCAAGTTTATTTTATCCTTATGATGACGTTGTAAGGCAAGTGTTATGAATATTTCCACTTAACAGATGAGAAAACAAGTACATTTTCTCAAGCCCCTATTTCTATTTTTTTCCTTTTTGTGTTTTCCTTATAAGCAAAATTTTTTTCTTATATGCAATAAGCCTATTTTCCAGATAACTTTAGTAGTTTGCTTTATTCTGCTAGTGCTGCCATTTCCATTTTTAATCAAATGGTGTTTATTAAAAATTATATCTTTAGACATTGTTTTCATACTACAGGAAGATATCAGGAAGATTATTTTCTTTAGTGATAGGTGAAAAAAGTGTATAGAACGTGATCATGATTCCATACCTTTACATGCTTTTGAATTGTTTATTCAATTTTATTTACTCTTATTATTTTAAATTTTCTATAGGGCACATGCACTCACCAGAGAGGGGGGGGGGGGGGGAGAAAGCAAGCTACCTGATCTGGGACTCAAATCATGGTCAGCCATGTGGGAGCCCAGCACGTTCACCTCCATATCACCTGCTGGCACCAGCTGTACATGTTTAAAAGCTAATCTGCTACCCAACATGGTAAGGAATACCAAAACTACAAATTACAGATTTGTTTATTGTTTTCTTCATTTATTTGATTTATAGTGTGTTCTTGGTTCTTGGATTATTCCTGGAGAAATAAAGGTAAGAACCATTTTGATCCTTCCTCCCACATTTCTCTCTCTCTCTCTCTCTCACACACACACACACACACACACACACGTTTTGCAACTTTCCCTGATCCAGATGATTTCTCTAGGGTGTAGTACAAGCCTAAACATGCTGTATCGATTTTAAAAATCATACATCCAGATGAAACAGCCATAAAATACACATTTCACATTTCCCTTTTTCCTGTTTGCACATTTACTTGCATTTCTAGCAGAAAACGCAGCACGTACCCAGGGTTACATCACAGCTGCCAGGGATCCCGCTGGGATAGAAGCCGGGCCCACTGCAGCCTCTACAAGCACACGTGCCCTATAGCAAAAACTCCTCTAAAAATAAAGAAGAAAAGGACACAAAACCTGTAGGGAATACCTTTTCTTTTTTTTTTTTTCATTCTAAGAAAAGAAGGAACAGCAGGATTTTAAAAATTATTCAAAATTTTAACCTAAATAACAACAAGGTTGCTTTTTTTTTTCTCTCTAGGAAGTGTTTCTGAGAGGTAGAGGTTTAAATTTAGAGCAATTGAGCAATGCTGAGAAAATTTACTTTTTTCTTTCTTGTTGACTTCACTTCATAGAACATCACTTTACTGTTGAGTAAAAGGACACAAAAAAAGAAAACGCCCCTTTGAATACGTTTTAGAATTGGTGCTTAGACTTGAGTATCACACCATCATGTCCCTGTGTGAGATATTGTGAAACAACCATTGAAAGCCACAGTTTGTTCCAAAAGTATTATTTTTAGAAGCTCAATAAGTATTGAAAACTCACTTCAAAAATGAGTTTTAGTTCTTGTTCGTGAACGTAATTTTGTGATAGAGTGAAATTAAACAGACAACATCAAGTCTCATGAATATATGCCTTTCTTGTGGATCTTTTTCTGTGTGCTTAGAGCCATAATTATCATTCTTTCTATTTTAGATTTTCACACATTTTCCCTTACTCAGTTTTCTTAAATAGGTAGATTGGACTTTGTAAATGATACTGAGATATAAATAAGGAGACTTCAGAAACTTGGTGGGATAATGGAATTAAAGTATGAGTTTATTTTGGTCTTAAACATTTTTTATTGTAATTTGTTATTTATATATAGTCATTACACATCTTTGTAGGACATAAAATGGTCTTTAAACGCATGTAGACAGGCCATCAGATGGTGTGGTGGTTGAAGTGTTGTACTCCCACATGGCCAATCATGGTTCGAGTCTCAGATGTGGTGACTTGCTTTCTCTCTCTCTCTCTCTCTCTCTCTGTGTATGTGTGTGTGTGTGCATGTGTGTGTCTTTCTGGCAAGCACATGTGCCCTATAGCAAATTTAAAAATATTAACAATTATAGTAAATGAAATTAAATTTTTAAAAAGGCATATATACAGTATATATTAAACAAATTGAGACTATTCACAAATTTCATATTAATATTTAACATATTATGTTGTGAACATTCAGAACCCACTCTGTGGGTTCTTCTGGAAGTATGTACTGAATTGTCTGATGCTAAACATTTTTTAATAATTCTGCTTGAACTATCTACAGCATTTTGTGCTTTGATTTTCCATTAGTTTTTCAAACTTCAAGTGCTGCCCTAAAGGAGAAAAAAGTATTGGATTCTCATACTTTAGGACCTCTTTGTACCTGATTTGTATTTCTCTCTCTCAAACTTCTAGAATAAATACTTGAGATGTGACCATCACTTACTAACACATTTTCAGGCAGCAGGACTGGAACTAGAGAACAGAGCACGTATTCATTTACCTGTGACAGTTCCAT